TCTAACGTCTTGTTAAACTGCCTACGTACCCTAAACAGGGATCAAGCCATTCGTAGTTCGAAATAATTAATTGTAGGTAACAAGCATAGATCACTATAGAAGTGCTTGTGGAACTATCAATTATATGCCTATGAAAGAAAAAGGCCCACTCACCTGGAGTCCACGCTATGATTATCTTGCACGCACATCGAGACATCACGATCTATCGTCGCCTGCCACGAAGTCCAAAAGTGAACAGAAGATGGTCAATTTTGCCCACAAAGCCGGCGGGTGCCTAAAACTTCCTGATGTCGATTCGTCGTCTATGGTGGTCCAACGGGGTCAAGGTTGGTTGGGTTTTGCTCCTGGGATGATGGGCTACAAAGCCCAAGTGGTAGCATCGGCCATCGCTTTGCCGATTTGCCGAAAAATCGAAAAGGGTGGCCGGAGCACTATTGATTTTCGTCAACTTTCGTGGCCTCAAACTGCCACATACCATGGTTAATCAAGGTGGTTCTTGGGTGGGTTTTGTAGAGGGGAATGAGAGCTTCAAGATGGTGATGGTGGCATCGAAAAACTCCACCGGAGTTGGCCGGAATCGGCCTTGGAAAATGGGAACTTGTGGTGGGTGTGGGTGGACGGGAAAGCCACTTCCCTTCTTTTTTTTTTTTGTTTTTTCTTTTCTTTCTTTCCTCATTTCTGATTTGGCTTCACCCCACAAAGTGGGGATTTAATTTAATTAACACTAAACCTTGAATAACCAATTTCGAACGTTCGTAACTATACTGTTATAATCCGTACTCGCAAACGGCTTTCGCCTATACGTTCGTACCAACGAGTACTACGAGGATATGCTAAAAGAATAAGTCCCACATCTCTCAAGTCGATGGTCAACGGAAGTCAAAGTCCTTACCTCTAGGGCAATTTCGTAAATTCACGCTTTTAAAGTAAAATAAAAACGTAAAATTTGGAACGGGTTGTCACAGTTCTGATTATAAGCACAAAGCTCCACTATTAAAACACTAAGAATTTTGAGTAGCAAAGTATTGTTCTCCCCAGTCGCCGCCATGACTTTAATTATTCTGCAACTTGAAACTGAATTTTCATACAGTTAAAGAAAAAGAGGAGGAAAATGGTTCGTATTTGGGCGTTGGAGGATAGTAGGAGAAGGTTGGTGTTTGGAAATAATACAAAAGGTTGGGGTGGCAACGGCATTAGGTGTCGTGGCGGTAGAGCACCAACCAGACTCAAAGGGGGACTCAGATTCTCTCCAAAACTCTTCCAGACCAATCAATATCAACCGATCAAGACTAATTGTGCAGTCAAAATTAAAACTTTTGTTTTCATAAGGGGTGTGATATCCACACACCCCTTTTTATTTTTCACACATCCTTCTAATTTTCACCTGTCAGATCAAATGAAACGAAGAAGATCAACATACAGAAATTAACAAAAGGCGTGTGAGAAGTAAAAAGGGGTGTGTGGATAGCACACCCCTTTCAGAGCAATTCCATCCCTAAAGGCTTTGTGCCAGCACCCAGCTCATTTATCCACTCAAATGAACAGTAATAGACCAAAGCATCTCCACCTCTAACAAAAAATAGCCTAATCAATTTTATTAAAATATTATAAATTTTTATTATAAAATAATAAAAAATAATTATTTTATTTTTAATTTTTGACTTTAATCTCTGTAAGCACTTTGCAACTTCTTCTTTCCCAACCTCACTCCCACACTCCAAAACCCAAATCAACGGCGTGATAATCCCGACTCCGATCAGAACAACCTTGTACGAACGAAACCTAGAAATAACAGAAACAATCTTTGCAGACAACCTCATGTCGTCTCTGCAAGCTTTGTTGCTGGACCTTGAAACGACTATCGCGAACCGCTGTGTCAAAACGCCGACGTTCTAAACCTTTGATAGGTTTCTTGCGTGAATATCGAGTCTTGCGGAAAACATGTCCAAGTCGCTATGCATCAGGAGCTTCTCGCTGTACCAAAGATTGACGCAGCAACGAGCTCCTCTCCCTCCTTCTCCCTCCGTGGCTCCTTCCCCTCCGACACCACGCTAACGTCTGCAGGGCGTCACTTGGGCCGGTCCCAAGGTCTGTCAATTTCGGGCAGGCCTGGAGATCAGCTTGAGCTGGGTGCCAATCAATAGAACGAGCTGGAGTAGATTGGCTGAGTGCCAGCCTTATTTTTTGGCAGAGTGCCGGCCTAACCACCCCCGGTGGAACTGCTCTCATTAAACTTTTGAAGGACCTGGATCCTCTTCGGTTCCTTATCTGCGAATCTCGTAGTGATCAATTCATCTAAACTGTTGGCTACACATCCTACGGGCATAATTCGTTTTGAATATTTTATTTTGTTTTCCAGCTTGCACGCACCAAGCAAGGTTTCTTTTTGTTTCATCATTTTGGTCGGTTGGTTGCCTTCTTCATCCCCATACGTCTGCATTCCTTTTTATTTTGTTTGCACCGCCTGGGGCAACATAGATCTTGGTCAAGGGTCGTAATGAAGTTTCCGGTGTTTTGGCCATCTAGGTAAATTTCAGATAAACTCTAACTGCGGGGCCTTCTCCCCCCTTGACCCATGCCTTGCGTTCTCAAGAACAATTCGACTGTTGGTTCAATTTTGACATGGAAGAACTTGTGCTGCTTAGTTTGCTGTGTATTTGAGATTTGGGGAGAGAGATGAGAAGGAAAGAGAACAACATGTGTTACCGGAAAAATAGAGAGCAGCGGGAAGCCACGATTGCTGGAAATGAATTAAAAAGAGCAACAACGTATCACCAGAAAAAAGAGTGCCTCGTTTTTGTGAGGAGCAACAAGAGAGCCGTAGAAATCCCATGTCAAATTATAATAGTCAAATTAATATTGATGGTTAATGTAACAATCTAAAGTCTTATGTTAAATTTGATACTTCTTCAATCAAATTGTCAAATGTTATTTTCTTATTAAAATATAGTTTTAAATGGTTCTAGTTATTAGAAAATAATTTGAAACAACATTTTTATGGGAGTTTTTATGAAAAGAGTTTGGGTTAAGTTTATTTTAACAAAAAAATCATGTTATAACTTTATTTAATGAAAAAAACTTAAATATTAATGAAAAACCCTTAAATTTCAATAAAAGGACAAATGAACATAAATTTTAATGAAAATAACACAATTTTAATATAATTTTTTTAATAAAATCTTAACGCTTGGGTTCCGTGCGTTCATTCATGAAACTGAACACTATTTATGAAACTGAACGGTACTATACTATTCATGAAACTGAATAGTACTACACTATTTATTGGTTCAGTTTTATAAATAATGTCTAGTTAAAGGTCAACTTTCATAAATAGCGTCTAATTCTTGGTCATATTTCATAAATAGTGCCTAGTTATTGGGTTCAGTTTCATAAATAATGTATAGTAATTGGTACAGTTTAATAAATATTGTCTCTTTCTTAGTCTAGTTTCGTAAATATTGCCTAGTTATTGGTTCACTTTCATAAAGAGTGTCTAGTTCTTGACCATGTTTCATAAATAATTTTCACCTATTGGTTTAGTCTTAGAAATAGTGCCAAATTCTTGGCTTCGTTTCATAAATAGTGGCCACTTATTGGTCTAGTTTCATAAATAGTGTCTATTTATTGGTTTAATTTCATAAATAGTGTCTATTTATTGGTCAAGTTTTATAAATAGTATCTCATTCTTGGTTCAATTTCATAAGGTTTGAAACTTAGGCCATGTTTGGTCATGTAAAACTACCCATTGCGCCGGAAATGATGAGCCCAAAAGTGATATTTTCAATCAAAACCTTGAGAAGATTACGTTTTCAGTAATTATATTAAAAAAAACTATTTTCAATTGCCAAATTAAAATCCCCTCACATTTTTTTACATATCTACAATAATTAAATGCAGCTCTCCATCAAATTTCTTGAGCTTGGATGTCATCTTAGAGAAATTTTTCCTTATACCCGTAAGTGGGGGGAAAATTTTATTTTTTATGTTATTAATTTTTTAACACAAGAATCTCACCATTTGTATAGAGACACGTGGTGTACCGAGTTCCGAGCACATTGAAAAATCTCTTGTCATCTTGGCTATTATTGGAAAACAATATCACAAAAATAAAACTAAAGAATGTAATTCAATTTGAAGTCTTTTTCTTATTCTAAGTCTTTTTTTTATTCTAAGCAACAAAGAAAAGAAAAAAAAAAATCTCTTAATAATAGTTGATAATTCAAGAGAAATGCAAGTGATAATTAAAAAAGAATTTGGATCCCATCCAAATTCAAATTGTGGGAATCCTAGGGATCTTCATATATTAATCATTCATCTGTATCGTGTGATTATAAATGATTTAACTTTTTTATTTTAAATTAAACATAAATAGTACCTGAGAAAAACTGACTGCACGATATATGATGAATGATTAGGAAACAAAGTGAATCTGGAGAGGATCCACTTCTATTAAAAAAAGCGAGAAGTTGCAATGGTTGTTTGTTTCCACCAAAGAAAACATTGGGCTTAGACCACTCGCTAGTCCCTCACGCAAGTATAGTAAGGTTTTTTTTTTTTTTTTTTTTTTTTCTCTTGTCTTTATAATTAAATAAAGTTATTAGATGATTTTTGGTTAAAATGCAAAGTTTTAAATCTATTTTCATTAGTTTTCTTAATTTTTATTGGTTGAATTATTAGTGGAATAAGGAATCCAACATTAAAATTAATTAAAAATAAATTTGACTCTAATCACAAATGCTTCAAATTCAATTAGCAAATAACACTTCTATTGAAAAGATTTTTTATGCCAAATATGCACAGTGATATTCCAGCTAGAATTTTGACATCTCATTTGAATATGTTCTAGGCAGCTCCTTTCTGTTTGTGAAATAAATTAAAAAACTTAATAGCCGCACGATTTGCGTCCACTTTGAATTAACGGCCACGATGATGTGGTCAGCAGGCTCCCCATAGAAAGATCCGGAGAGGATCTAGACCTAATTAAATTGGTTTAATTGGACCTTAAAACAGTATCGTTTGCTGTTCCTCTTCCGTCCCCAAAGCGGGAAAAGCAAAAGCCCTACTGAGTATTGACGCGGGACTGCCTTTCTGAAAAACAAGACATCCATGGCGCCACTGGTTCAGAGCTCTCAACCATGGGTCGAAAAATAGTACAATTCCTCTCTCTCTCTCTCTCTCTGCAATTACATTCCAATTTAGGGCTTAATTTTGTTGATTTCAATTTTGAATGTTATGTAATTTGTCAGTCGGCCGAGGCAAGTGAAAGATGTGGCGCAGCAGGACGAGGTGGTCCGAGTCCTCACCAATACCCTCGAGACATCAAATGTAACATCCGTGAAGCTTCAATTTTCAAAACCCTAATGCACTTACTCCTATTTCTTCATCTGTTTAGTTCTGTGACTTGGGGTTTTTTGTTTTGTTTGCAGTGTCCTCACATGCTCTTCTATGGTCCGCCGGGTACCGGAAAAACCACCACCGCTCTCGCCATCGCTCACCAGCTTTTCGGGTTTGCCTCCTGCCCACTTTATTATTTATCTGAAATTCCAAAGATTGTGTATTTATGTGCTCTCAGCTCTTTAAAACTTGTTTTCCCAAATTGCATTGTATTTTGATGCCATGATTCTCGAAAGTCTTCAAATGGGTTGAGTGATTCTGAAATTCTTTCGGGCTGACTAGATTTAGATGGTACTAGGAGGGACCATGATGACTCTAGACATGGCTTTATGGTTTCTTATTATTTTCGGGTAGTTAAATTGAATGATGTTATTTGGGGTGTTTCAGCATACGACTGAGCACTATCTATCACATTTTACTCTGAATTCAAATTCTTTTGCATCGGGTTTTATTCATTATACGCATTGCTATAAAATTTTCACTGTTTTAATCACAATCTTTTTGCAGACCTGAACTCTACAAGTCTAGAGTGCTGGAGCTCAATGCAAGTGATGATCGTGGGATCAATGTTGTTCGGACAAAGATCAAAGATTTTGCTGCTGTTGCTGTGGGTCGTAATCAACGTCCAGGGTATATTCTCATATCCGAGAACTCTTATTTTCAATTTTACTCATATATTCTCCGTTTCCATTGTTTATGGGTATGTATTCCCTTTCCTCAATGCTGCAGGGGTTACCCGTGTCCACCATTTAAGATCATAATCCTTGACGAGGCAGATTCAATGACAGAAGATGCTCAGGCACGTTTGTTATCTCTTCATTGCCTAAAAAGTACTAGGAATGCCCTCTCACTTACTCTCTGCTATGCAGAATGCCCTAAGACGTACAATGGAAACTCACTCCAAAGTCACCCGATTCTTTTTTATATGCAATTATATCAGCAGGTGCACCTTCCGTACTTTTTTATTTGTTTAATTAGGCAATATGCAATTCCTTTTTATATGTTTGGTTCACTTAAACTTTTGGTAACCCAGTTTCTTCCTTTATTTTATTTTGGGGCGGGTTTGATAAAATACAGTTGAAACTTGGTTTTGTTTGGAGGGGTTTAGAAACCTTGATCATTTTCACTCTTGCATTGTAAGAGTATCCTGAGATGTCTGAGGGAACACAATTGTTTTTTAAAATACCTTCTTTAGGAACTGTTCGTGTATAATAATGTCTATGTAGGAAATGTCACTGAAATGCAGTGAAAGGAAGGTTTCAAATAATAACAGTTAATTTAAAATGTCTTTAGGTTCTGTCATTAAATTGTAATATACATGAATCAAGGGCAGGCTTTGCACTTGATGATCAATGAGTTTGTTGTTTTTGTAGGATCATAGAGCCACTTGCTTCGAGATGTGCAAAGTTCAGGTTTAAGCCACTTTCAGAAGATATCATGATCACCCGCGTATTGCATATTTGCCAAGAAGAAGGCCTTAACCTGGATCCAGAGGTGTGTACATCATAGCTGAAGTAGTGTACTGCATATTGTGGTTTGTTGAAAATGGAATCTTTGAATCAGTTTTGGGGTTTTGACATCCTCATACAAAGTGTTGATCTACATTGTAGGCCCTGTCAACACTAAGCTCTATCTCACAAGGTGATCTTCGTCGGGCTATTACATACTTGCAGGTAATTGGGGGTTAGTCAAGAAAAATTGACTCTTTTCTTGTTCATCTATTTTCTTCCGAAAGACTTGTTAGATAACCACCATCAGTATCTATTAAGGCTGTACTTCAGTAGTTTATACATTTTTGGCTGCTTAATTGATGATGTGTTTTTGTGAAGCATGATGTTAATTGAAATTGTGTTGGAAATTCTTTGGCTTTAAGCATCTTGAAAGTTTAGCACCCAACTTTTGGGTGTCCGGGAATGATGATATTGAGGAATATTGTTGAACTGATCAGTGATCACATTATCCCTAGTGCAAGTAAAATGCTTTGGTATTTTTGTTGTTTGTTAAAATGTTGTAGTTATATGAAATGCTCTTGGTTAGCCCAGTGTTAGTTAAACTTAATATATCCAACTACTTTGAGATTTTTCTCCCATTTCTGCGTTCATCTAAATTAGACCTTTACAGAAGTTTCGTGCTTCAAATTTTTTTCCTTTTTTTTTCCTTGTTACTAACGGACTTGTCCACATTGGTAAGGCATTAACATTAGATCCTGCTAAGTCTCTCATTGTTGAATTTTAAGTTGTACTTTCGAAATATTGCAGTCAGCTGCTCGCTTATTTGGATCTTCTATTTCTTCAAAGGAGCTGATTAGTGTGTCTGGGGTAAGTAACAAGACAGTTAAATTTGATGATGATATAGAAACTTGTTTCTTTATTTTTATGCATGTTAGGCAGTAACGTTAATGTTATATAGTTATAGCATACAACTATATGTAGTTGCAACAAATGAGAACATAGGTTTGCTTTGAGATTGAGCACAAGATGCTTGAAGTTATTTATTATAACTTATAACTTGAGCAACTGAAGAACTATATTGTAGCGGGTCGTTTATGTTCTTCTGACGTCTGTCATTTCCCACTGTTAGTCTCACGAAATTGGGGACTTAGGTACAGTGGAATCCTATGTCGGGAAATTTGTGTTTGATTCTAGCATTGAGCATTAAAATGAAATGGCCCCTCTTAAGGTTGAATGTGTTTGGCATCCCAAGGGGTTTTTGTTTACATCAAATCCCTGCTCCATCCTGATGTCCAATAATTGCGTTCTTCAGGTAGTCCCGGAGGAAGTTGTCGAGGCATTCTTCTCTGCATGCAGGGGTGATAACTTTGACTTGGCAAACAAGGAAGTCAACAATGTAATTGCAGAGGGATATCCAGTCTCTCAAATGCTTTCACAGGTTTTAGTTTCACCCTTTTAATCGAATCACCTATTAGTTCAATATGATTGTCGTCATCCATATGAAATACAGCAAAAGTAATACAAGATTGCTTCTAGTTATTTGAGGTGGTGGTTCAGGCAGATGACATATTAGATGAACAGAAGGCTAGAATATGCAAGAAATTGGGCGAAGCAGATAAGGTAAGACAGGTTAACTACCTTTCATAGGCATGTCATATGTTGTGCAAAGTTTTAATTTAGCTTATTAAGTTCGATTAATCAGTATCTTAATAAATTAAGGCAGGCCTATCTTGTGCAAAATTTTAATTGAGCTCCTATTTATGATGCAGTGTCTTGTGGATGGGGCTGACGAGTACTTGCAGCTGCTTGACGTGGCCAGCAGTATGATGCGAGCTGTTTGTAACATGCAGGAAGATTTCTCTTAGGAATGCTGAGCTAGTTTTCGGGTTAGTTTCAGAACCCAAATGCAGATTGATCCGTATGCGGCTAGATCTGGTAGAACCAAGATGCTTAAATTCCGAAAAAATTGTTATGTTGTGAAATAGACCAACCACTTGCTGATAGTTATTTTCGGCTTAACACGCCATAGCTAATTAATTGGAATTAGCAGAGCATTAGGTGGAAAACATGATTAAGGGGTAATGATTATGATTTCTAGAAGAAACATGATTTGAGTCCTTTCACGTTTGGACAATGAAACGGCCGGTCACCCTTATTGGAAATGTACACCATCTTTTGTCCGGGAAATTGGACCGAGATTGCGGGGCAAAAGGAGAGATTTTCACGTACTAGAACACGGTCGCGTAATGTTATAGTTTGAGTGGAATAATAATTCCATATGATGGTGTTTCGAGCCGATCCAAATATTATTCAGGACAAAAATCCGTGAAGGAGCTAAAATTTACTTAAAAGAGTCGCGTAATGTTATAGTTTGAGTGGAATAATAATTCCATATGATTGTGTTTCGAGCAGATCCAAATATTATTCAGGACAAAAATCCGTGAAGGAGCTAAAATTTACGTAAAAGAGTCACGAGAATGAATATCATGGAAACGTAGGCAACTTTCTTCCATGGCTAACTGTGAACCCGTGTCCCAAAGTGTCACAACCAACCATGCGTCAATAAATTCTATCCTCAGCTATTTGCCCGTGAAGTATCTTCTTTAATAAATACAAGAAAGAATAGGGAAGGTTGAAATCAAAGGACCTGGCTTCTCTGCCTTCTCAATTACACTCATATCTTCTCCTATTTGTGCAGTCATGGTTAAGCCACGTTAACATTTTATATCATTATTGCCTTTTGTTTTATTATCTCTATAAAATAAATCAATATAAAATATCGACGTGGTTTAACCGTGACCGCACAAAATAAGAGGGGATGAGAGTGTATGGGAATTGGGAGGGCAGAGAAGCCGGGTTCAAAATCAAATACTCACTTTAAGTGTTGTTTTTAGAAGTAGGGGTAGAACTGTTTATGTTTTTTGAGATCCATGATTTTGACAATTTATTTATTTATTTACCAAACACAATTTTAGCCCTAGCTTTTTTAAAAAGCTATTTTTAAAATAATTTCAGCAATACCAAATCAAACTTAAGTTACAAAATTTTAAGAGTAATGCTAGGTAGATCAAACCAAACTTGTAAACCATATGATGTGTCACTAATAGAAAATGAGCATGTTAATCAATACTTAAGTAATAATTCAATTGTAAATGACCACATCAAACGGTTTAACAAATTTAATTTAAAAGTTTGGTCTCATTAACATTCATCATAAATGTTTTCTTAGTTACCAGATGACAAATGAATGCGCACTCCTATTAGTGTTCATTTAATTGACATCAAAGGAAGGTTGATAATAAAAATATTAAAAAAAAATACATCTATATTTCTCCACTTGAGATATCAAATTTAAAAGTGATGAAGTGATCACGGAAACGGAACTCGATGTGGTTTTATGAGAGTCGATAGTGTTTTAATTTCCCTCCAAATGCGCCTGAAAATGGAAGCACATGTTATAGTGACTCATTCAATTGCGTGGTGGCGATTTTCTCAACTCCACATCAACAAGCAAAAAAGTCAGAGCACGATTGAATTATCCTTTTGGCATTTTTCCAATTTTCTTGGGTTCTATAATTAGAATTCTCAATTTATTTGATATATTTGGATAATTAAGTAATTTTATATTAATGATTTTTCATTTATTTTTTTATTTATGAATGATATTCAAATACATATTAAAGACTTGTATAATTCTAGTTATAAAATTTATTCACTAAAAACTCGATATTGGTAAGAAGTGAGATATGTGCATTCTCTATAATACACAATTATTATCCAATTAATAATATCACGTGTCGTTGTGAAAGAATTCATTTAAAGTCAAGTACGTGATTGGATTGGACCCTCCTTAGGATGGCCCACCTACCCAACTTAATGCCTCTGATCCCGGCGGGACCAACCTTCAATTTTCTTCAATTCCCCGCACTCCCTCCTCTATATATTCCTCTCGGTTGCAGAAATTTATCATAGAAAATTCAAAAAAATGGCAGTAGATGATTACGATGACCATTCTTTCACTAAACCAGGAGCAATCCCATTTCAGTGGGAAATTAAACCCGGCGTCCCCAAAATCCAATACCAACAACAAAAACAATTACCGCCACAGACGCCGCCGCCGTCACGGTCGCATTCTCACAAACACCTTCAGCTCAAACCCCCGCCATCTGGGTCAATCTTTCTGCCTCCGCCGGAGCCCCACACTCGGACCCGCTCCTTCCGCTCCCCTTCAGCTTCTCGAACCCGGTCCGAGCGCTGGCGGTTTGAGCAACCCAATAACTTCCTTTCAAGACGATCAGAAGCCATTTCGTCGGCCGGTTGCTTTATGTCTCCTCTTCTGAGGGGGAAACCGAGCAGCAAGAGCAAAAGGGGGAGCGGTGGTGCTAGGACGGTGCCTGTACCCGAGTCCGAACCCGATTACACTTTGGACCTTGAGACACTGGCGCGGTGGTCTGTGTCGTCTCGGAAAACGCTGCTCTCGCCGTTCCGTTACTCACCCGCGTCGACGTCGTCTTACTCGTCTAACAGGTCTTCCCCGCGACCCGTTAGTGACGCTGAATGGGCCGGGTTCGGACTCTTTTGAATGGGCTATAAATGGGATATGTAATATCCAGGGCAAGGTGGGTATTTGGCTGTTGGGTAGCTTTAGCTCTCTGGTCATACAAGACTAAGAAGAGTACTTTGAACTTTTATTTTTCTTTCCAAATGTTCTCAAATATCACTATTAATGTAATAAATAGCGCTATTTCTAGTGAGTATGTTTGATTGTGGTCATGAAGTATGATAAAATTCTCATAGACTGGGATTGGAAGAGTTAGATAATCGTGATTTGTCATCAGTTATCTCTTTTTTTTAAATAAGTAAGAAAAAAACAAATAGCGCTATTTTATTATGTATATCGGTAATTCAGTATGTTAATGACAAATATTTTGTTGAACTTAAGATCTCACTTATAAGTGAAGAAAAATGCCATTAAATCGTAATATTAAATAATTTTTTTTTTCTTATTAGAGGCAAAGATCACAGGTTTTGTTGATACTGGATCTTGGATGTAGTTGTGTGGATTGGAATATGCGAGGGAGGACTTTTCTTTATAATTTTATAATTTTTTTTACAAATAAATAGATAAAGATGAAAGATGTTTTGCGAATAATTTAAGTCATTCAGTATTATGGTTTGATAATATTCTTCTTCATTTATAAGTGAGAGGTTTTAGGTTTGAATCTTGTGAATAATGAATTCGATGCCAAATTAAGTTGTTAATTGTATGACTTTGCCAAATTTCTCTTCCCCTTACTGTAAAATATATTATTGTACTAAATTTTTTTTAAATATTTTCAAGAAAATTCCCACAATCTGTGCAAAAGATGTTGGGTGTGAAAGAAATCGATGGAGACACTAAGTTGGCTTTGTTTGTAAAGATAACTTTTGCTTTTGGATTTAATAGCATTCTGCCATTAAGAAAGAGGGAACTTCAAAGAAAAACTTCGGGTACTATTTACTTTAACAAAAAATCACATTTTTACATTAAAAAATCGATTATGGTACTATTCAATTTACCCTTTATTTTGTTATTATCGTTAAAACTCAAAGTTTTCAAACCCTTTTCATTAGTTTTCCTTAATAAAAATGCTTATAAATGAGTGAGGCAAAACCTACGTCATAAGCATGATCTATATAAGGCAAATTTAGTAAATAATAACACACAATTAGAGAGGAAAAACAACTCATTACTTGAACTAAACATATGCTCGTCAAGGAATTTCTGATGATGAGCTTTATTGCAACATGTCGAAAGTATAAGGCTCGTCTTCGGAAAAGTGATGTGGTAAAAACTAGCACACAAATTAAACCTTATAATTTTAGATGATTGTAGTATGAGCAAGTAGGGATCGTTCTAGGCCGGGGATTAGGAGGGATTCTAATCAACACAAATTAAACTTAAAAACTGAAAACTAAGCTAGACTAACACAAAAGAAGAATTGAGGGGGCTTTTTGACGAATTTTAAGAAACAAAAGTAAATAGCAGCAATTAAATTGAATGCAACATATGCACATGAAACATATGCACATAAATCGATTTCTCGTTATTCTTTCTATAAACCATGAATGACAATATCCCAAATTAATTGTGAATGCACTAATTAATTCTCAGACTTTCCTAAGTTCATTGAATTGGACTCAGCGACGCAACCAAATTATCCTTCTCAAGTTCCCTAACTATGAAAAGCATGATAGAGACACATATCAAAGGTCATTAAATTCTGTGAAAATCATAAGTATTGACAAAACATTCGTAACTATGAAAAACATGATACTCATGCCAAGAATTTACTTAACTCAATCATGACTAGTGACTTTTACTACTTATAAATATAAGTTCATAACGATTAGGTGAAATTCCCTTATATTCTAGCATCAAACCCCTGTATGCAAACTAAGTATGCATCCTTAATAAACATACAAGAATAAGTTATCTATAAAGTAGATAAGTAAATCGCATTCGTGTTTTATGAAACAATAACTGGATGTAATCAATTCATATAAAACATATGTTCATGGCTTCGGATTCTCCTCTAGCTAAAAAGAAATTTAGTTACGCATGTTCAACATAACTGAAAAACAATCTAAAGTAAACATTAAAACTAAACAAGGATAGAAAGAACTTTGAAAACTCCAATGGTTGAATGGTAGGTTATGGCACAATCTCTCCCTTTGGCTCTTGCAGGTTGCGGCACCAATTTGGAATAGAACATGTGACACCAATTTTTCTCCCCCTTAATTGCTGCGGTATAAATACATATATATAAGGTAGGGTTCAGCAGAAACCAAGGAGAAAAAGGATTAGGACGTTTGAATGGATTATGACTCCTATAATCAGATGGGAAGTATTTAGAATAGGATAAGGACTCATTTTGCAGCTGGAGATAATATGAGATAATGTTGGATAAAGTGGAATAATGTTTGGATAAGATAAGATAAGTTTAGATAAGATAAGTTTGGATAAGGTTGGATAAGATTATGTCTTTCCTTGTCTTCCAAGCTTCCAAATTTGATTCCTCCAGATTTTAGCACATATTTAGCACATGTTAAACACCAAAAACGTCCAACCCCACTGCTCCACATGCATGCTATCCAATCCAAATCCAAAACTGCTCCAAATTGCTCCATTTAGCCATTTATTGTCATCTTTACCAATTGGACCTACAATAATACAAAATTAACTTAAATCACTATAATAAATGAAAATTAACTAAATAAATGCAAAGAAATAAGATAACAAAGTCGCAAAAATATGCTCCTATCAAAAAGTCCAATAACCTCGCAACCTAGGGACCATCGAACTCGAATGCCACATTGGCAAATTTTTAGCTTTGTATTTTACTCGAGTCTTTTTGAGATATTTTATCAAACATCTTGTTTTAATATGGTTACGTACAACTGTTGAATAAATATTAGTCAATTTCTTGAAGTAAGCAATTGTGGGAAATTACACTGGACTCTAGGCAAAATTACATGTTGTAATTGCTAGGGCCCGTTCCTTTCACTTAGGAGAGAGATGTATATCCATTGTCATAGTTCCAAGTCAGAGTGAGTCAATTATCACAGAGGGATTGAGTCTGCAAAGTATGAACTCTCCTTGTCCTCCTTAAGCTTTGTAACAGCAGTGTCGGGGGCGACCCCTTAGCATTGTTGCAGCGTCTTTCTTCTTGTACCTCCCTACACTGCTTGGCCTCAATTCTACCTAATCATTTGCTTGCTTCACTGTAGGTTTTTATTGTACGTTTGGCATTTTTGCCCTGGTAATGAACCTTCCAGTTTCCAAACAAAAAAAAAAAGTACCAACTCGCCGTACAAGCTCCAACCATGATAAGATCCAAATCTTAGTCCTTATTCAACCTTAACCGATATACAGAAATGGGGGTGGAAGGAAGAAGAAGGAGCAGAACTTCAACTTGTTCTCATGAGAAAGCTCCAAATACCTAGTAATAGGGTGTCAACTCCCTCCCTTGACTGATGGATTCAACTCTTTCTCACGAGAAAGCTCCAAATACCTAGTAATTGAGTTGATGGCATACTCCAACAAATTATCCATATTTGGTGGATTCAGGAGAAATGCTTTATCTACCACAGTTTCTACACCTGCTTTTCTAAGAAAGATTACTCTTTGAATTGCCATCAACCCATCTTTACAACATCTTCCAAAGGTGTAAGGGGAGGAAGCAAATCTCAGTAGCGATTTCTAGGAACCAGTAGTGACAATCGATTTGGATCTCTCCTTTTGAAATGAAAATATTTTAGAAGGCTGCATTGTCTTAGACTGCAAAAAGTGATTCACTGCTTCCTCAAAATGTAAGTCAAAAAGCAAGGGAAACCCCACTTGTGATGATCAAATGAGAGCATCCTTTGATAATTCGCCCTCGCACTCAAGATCCTCCACCAAGAAGATGGCTTCCTTGAAGTTCTTTTTTCTCAATAAATCTTTAATTTTCGATAGCAAACAACCTTGGCGGCGGTTGTAACAACGACAAGTTTTCCACTTCCATCTTCCTTATCTACAACAATGCAATGCCCTCCTACCCCTCCACCACCAAAAGTGATCTTTTGAATATCCTTTGCAAAACCCATATATGAAGATATCTCCCTAATAGAATCCAGGTTATTATGGAACACCAAGCTACCACCAACTGGCTGCCCATGTGCATTAGCTATGATGCCAACAGTGTCAAACTGCAAAAGCACATTCCATCCTTTACACAACAATTTATGCTGTGGCAGACTAGAAACATCCGGTAGTGAAAATACACTCTGTTTGATAACACATGATGTCACGCCTTGATCCCGACATATGTCCAGGATCAACACGCAACTGTCAGCTGTAGGGGGTGCGAGGAATACAAACATTATACACAAGGGAACTGATACTGAAATTCTTAAATACAAGTGGTGGGTTCTCTGTCACAAATACAACAAAGCTACACGCTCATAGGCTCTCAAAAAGAAAGTCCAAACGAAATACAATGAAGGATATACGAGCAACCTAACACTCCAAGCTTTCTGACCTCTGTCTGTTACCCCAAGGGCTCCTCGTATCAACTAAATTCTGTCACCTGCATAATCGCCCTTGCGCTGTGGGAATTGTGCATCGGGCAAATCAACAACTCGGATAAGCTGCGAAGCTCGTAGAGTGACAATAATGTGACAGCTCGTCTCAGATTTTTCATACCGTAGAGGTGAAATAACGGTTTTGCCCCTAATGGATAATTGTTGTTTATGTGGTTGCTTTGAGTATTTGGTTGGCTGCATCTCAGCCACACATCCATCATCATTCTCATCACCCTCTCATGTTTACCCTCTCTATCCCGTATCCTTGTCTCTCTCTCTCTCTCTCCCCCTTTCCTTTCTTCCTTGTACGGACAAGAACCAAAGGGCTCGAAAACATTACGGATCGTGGAAGAAAATGGTACCTTTGTGCTCGTGAGGTTCTTAGGAGTTCAACCATACCCATTTCAGGTAAGTGAACCTTCGTTTTCATGTCAAACCCGAGAGGTTCATTTCGGGGTACTATTCATGCACACGTAAATTCATGTATTTTTGGGAATTTCAAGCTTGCAGGAAGCTTGGTGAGGTCCTTAGGAAGCTCGAGGTGGTTCGTTTGAAGGTTTTGGACGTCGGGATCGTGAGTTGCAGGTTTGGCCGGATTTTGTGGAGTTTTTCCAGCAAGATCTCGTTGGTTTTAGTGCTTGAAAGTGGTAAGGATTTGTTCCTCTAGTTGTAAGCTTCATTTTGGTACCAATTTCGTGAAATTTGGGTGAAAAACGAGTGAGATGTGAAGTTTGGAAAATTTCCCGATTTTCCGACGACGGCGACGACACCGGAGGTTGGCTGGAGAAGATGACGGAATATTTCGTCCGTTTAGACGGAATATTCCTAATGGCGTTAGGTTAACTTTAGCGGAATCTGTCAGAGTTAACGAAATATTCCTGACGGCGTTAACTGACGCCGTCAATGTGCCAGGCACGTGCCTGCGAGTGGGCGGCGCGTGTGGCCGTGCCTTAGCTGGCGCGTGGGGGTGCGTGCGGTGTCAGAAAATTATTTTAAAAATATGGGGATGTTCATGAGGTTGAGTAGATCACGTTGGTGTATTCATACACCCACATTTGAGCATTGTATGAGAAGTTATTACCTAGTTTGGGTTATATGCTTTAAATTAACGTTTTTATTGTTTCACATATAGGTGAGACCTATCCCGAGGACGAGTGCGGTCACTCAAGACAAGGGGGTTATGACCCTTCTACATACCAGTGAGTGGGCTTTTGGTTTTCCATATATACCTATATACTTGTGTTTTTCCCAGAAAGTGAAATGAAGCGTCTATATGTTTTATATGCCATGCATTATGTTTGCTCGTTTAATTATGCATTATTAGTTGCATATATATATATGTTTGGTGCTGCGGATGCATAGGTAAGTGCCCTGTAAGTTATGGTTTATGTTTATGTTTAGTAGTGATTTGTGATGCATAGAGAGCTCATAACCTGCACCCCCGGTGTTAGTGCTCCAGCCCAGAGTAGGGCACAGTCCTTCACGTGATGTTCACCTCCCACACCACACGCTCATCTTGGATCCAAGTTAGGTGCACAGTCCTGTCGTACAGGCCACTTTAGGTGGTTTCGACTCGTAGGTGACCCACGACTATTCGCCCAGTCTTCACGTGATTGTAGCACTTGAGCATATTTATTTTACACCCAGTCCTGTCGTACAGACCGCTTTAGGTGGTTTCGACTTGTGTGCAGGTATAGTTAGTGAGTTGTGGATTGAGCTCTAGATTCAGCTGTACAGGTCACGTTAGGTGACTCCGGCTGACAAATTTCATGGCATTGATTTGACATTACCTGAGTACTTGCATTTCGTTTAAGGCATTCGACATGGCTTATTTCTGAGCATATTATATATCTATGTGCATATTCTATTTTCTGGGAAACTATACAGGTTTTACGGCGAGGGGTTAGTACTTTTGATATTGAAATGATTTTGAAAAGCTTTGTTTTTGCCCACTCACATTCTGTTTTGCGCCCCTCCAGGTTCTAGTTTGGATAGCTCTGTTGGTGACTCTCGAGGGATTCACGGCATATCTGACAGATTATCACCAGTGTAGGACCACCTTTGGGTGTATTTATTTAGTGTTTGTTTCTTCCGGACTGCACTAGGTCTTCCGTGCTCTGAATATTGTTTTTCACACTTACGCTTGCACGTGTATGTTTTACTTGGTGTATAGCTTGGTTTTTTTATTTATTCGTACTTTTATTATTATTTCTTAGCTTCCGCACTGTGCACATGGCTACGTCACTTCCACGTGACAGCCAACATTCCCTGATCTCGGTCGGGGTGTGTCAATAATCCGACGTACGTGATAATAAAAAACTAGTCCATCAATCACAGTTTATAAACAACATTCATAAAATCATAAACAATCCACTAAAAACCTTGAAGGAGTCACCCAGACATCCATCAGCCTTTCAAAATCAAACCATAAAGGTTATCAAATCTATGTTTCATAAATGCATTAAAAACTAGGGTTAGATTGACTCAGTTCAGCCAAAGCCTATCTCTTCTAAGCTTTCATATTCTATACCGAATCCATGGGATCAACGCAACAACAAAGACAAGGGATGCAATTTTGGACAACTCAACGAAATCTAACGAAAAATAGGTTTTGGACCACTCAACGGAGCTAAAAAGGATATGATTCCAGACTACTCAACGGTATTGCAAAGTAGGAGGGATTACAGACCACTCAAAAGAATCCATACAGGGTAGGGAACTAGACCACTCAACGGAACCTAGGTCCGAACCACTTAACGGAATTGAGCAAAATCCAAGGAACGTAACTCAAAACAGTTCAATGAAACAAGAAATGGTACAAGGTTCGATGCAACAACTCCCCATCCTCTACTAGCCCTCTCGTTTCATAAACATTTCAAACCACATTTCATAAACATTTCGAATATGCAAGTCAAATCACATTTCATAAAAGTAGGTCAATGGCTTAATATAAAAGTAATATTTAGTAGAAAACACATTTATAAAACCATGCCATATCTACTAATTAAGTATACTAGCATGGGGGTTTCATGGGTAACCACCATATCACATTTATTAAAGTCACTCACCTGGAGTCCGCGCTACAGCACCTAGAACAATATATTGAGGTGCCAAGTACAATCGTCGCTAAAAACAAAGTACAATTCTCATCGTCAAATATCTAGTGATAAAACACATAATCTTAGGTCGTACACATCCTCTAGGACATTCTAGATGGATTCGAAACATGTTGATCAAAAGTCAACCGTCGATCAATGGTCAACAATAGGGTCGACAACACTACGTAATTTAATCCGGAAGATCCGCCCACCAGATTTCCGTTCCGTAACTTTCTAAGGGTCACATTATGATTCAAGAACAACGTACTAAAATTTCATGTCGATCCGATGGTTGGCTTTCCTTCAATTGCGAAATTAAGTGGTGGCAAACTAGAGAACTAGGTTAACACAATGGAATTTCACTAAACGGATGCCAAAAATGTATTCGGGGCATCAAAATAAGCTAAGTCGAGAGAGATTGAAAGCGTGAACAGAGAAACAAAGAGAAAAGATATATGTTTTCAGAAGTATTGGAGGTGGGCCCCACCGGCACACCAAACAAAACCAAAAAATAAAACCACATGTGACTAAATAATGACAAATTACCAAAATACCCTCGGCATTCCAATGCTTGTAATCTTCGATATAGCTTAGAATTTCATGATGCTTTCACCACATGTTCGTATTGATGTGTACTATCGAAATATGCCAAGAAATGTGGTGAAACACAAAAGGGTCAAGTATGTCCTCTTAAAATTCTGTTTAGGCCAATAGGGGCATTTTTTCGTTCTTTTACTTATCGATAAAATTCTAAGCCGCAAATATAAACGGGTCGGAATTATGAAATACTGTGATTAAATGGTGAAATTTGGGGACGGGATTTCACACATGAAAACAAACTATATCCATTAAAAATACTGACAATTATCGAATTAGTGAGCCATATCCATTAAAAACAAACTAGATAGATATCCGTCCTGATAAATACTATGGCACATGTGTATTTATAGGGATCTTGAGTGTCTTTGTAGGAAAACTAATAATCTTCATCAAATCGGAAGACTATCTAGAAGGAAATTTAGGATAAGATTCTGATGCCTAGCTTGCAAACAAGCTTGGATGTCTCTCTCTCCTCTCTTTCTCTCTCTTCAAGTTATTTGATTTATGAGTGGTTTGTGGTTTTGAATTTTTCTTATTATTTTTAGGCACATTGAGCTTGTCTACGTTGAATTTTATCAATTAATCTGAACAAAGTTTTAAGTAGCAGTGCAGTTAATGCTCGAATCGAACCTGGACTAACAAGTAAAAGGCTTGTAGAATTAGGATTTCAGACTAAATATTGAACCCCAACCGGATTAGGCTCTTAGTGCACAATTAAGTTCTTCCTTAAAATAAAAAAAGTTTCTTGATCTGCTTTAGATGGTTGCAAACTTGCAATCCTTATAACCAAACATTGGTGAGCGTAATGTAGTTTTTCTTTTGGTGTACTTTCTGAATCTGTTAAGTGTTTATGACAGACTATTCCTCCGTCAGTTCATGAATCATCTGGCCTTTCTGACAAATCCGTCGTGGCTCTTAGAGATCCATTTGGAGGAAAATGGCCGGTGCAGATAGCAGCATGGAATAATAACAGAGCTAGAGATGGATCTTTGACACTTCATATGGCTCTAAAGAAAGGATGGAAACAGTTGTATGTTGTCAATAACCTGAAGGAGGGAAGCTTGAGTATTGCTTGAGGGCGGCTTGAGCACTGCTTGAGGTGTGTCGAAAAGCCAGCTACAAGATCGTGCGTGCTGAGGTTTTAGATGTCAACACAAACCAAAATGACGGAATTAGATCATAAGTGATGCATTGCAAAATAAAATTGATTTAATTTGACCTTCCACCGACTATAAACGGGCTAAATTGAAACTTTTAATTAAAGCATACAGAGTCATCAACTAACATAATGTATTTCATACACCGATGCATCGTACAATTTAATTCGAACTTGTAAGCAAGAAACTGCGACAATATTCGAGTGTCACACCTTTAATTTTCCCTTGAATGTTGGATGAGCCAAGCCCAACCGCCTGAACCCAACCAACCGAAAGCGCAACTAATTTTTCCTCATATATTTGATCTTCATATTTCACATTCCTCCCTCCCAGGAACTGCAACAACTCCATCAATGGCATCCCATCACACCCTCATCCCATCTAACCCAGAAACCATTTCCCACCACCGTTGATTCTCAACCAATCTCCCACGCAAAAGATCAACAGAAAATTTCAAAACATGTACAGTTCAAAACCTTTCAAACCCATAGTCAACCAAGTCCTCGCCGCCATGCTAAAAAACCAGCCCTTCGATTCCAATCTCGCCGCCTCCGCCGCCGCCTCTCAGCCGTGGACTGCGGACTCGGTTTCCCAAGTCCTAATCTCCATACCCAGATTCTTCTTCCAGTCCCCCCGCTCCGTCGGCCGCCAAACCGGGTTCCGCCACCGCGCTCCATTGAAGCAACGCAACCTCAGGCAAGAATCTTACAAATTCCACAACAACGTGCTCGTTCTCGGCCCGGCAGCCCACAGAGATCTCGACAAAGTTCAGCTCGGGTCGGACAAAGCACTCGAATTCTACTACTGGGTCGAAACCCGTTGCAGGTTTGCCCACAACGAACGGACTTGCAGGGAGATGGCGATTGTTTTGGCCAGAGGGAATAGGTTGAAAGCCCTTTGGGATTTTCTCAAAGATATGTCGAAGAGGGTGAGCGGCGGGCTTGTTACCACAGAGAGCGTTACCTGTTTGATAAAAGTCCTAGGAGAGGAAGGCTTGGTTAATGATGCATTGGCTGCTTTTTATAGAATGAAGCAGTTTCATTGCAAGCCGGATGTGTATGCTTATAACACCATTATTTATGCTCTTTGCAGAGTTGGGAATTTCAATAAGGCCCGGTTTTTGTTGGACCAGATGGAGTTGCCGGGGTTTAGATGCCCGCCGGATGTGTTCACTTATACGATTTTGATTAGTTCTTATTGTAGGTATGGTTTAGAGACGGGCTGTAGGAAGGCCATCCGGAGGCGGTTGTGGGAAGCCAACCACATGTTTCGGAATATGCTTTTCAGAGGTTTTGTTCCTGATGTTGTCACTTACAATTCTTTGATCAATGGTTGTTGCAAAACTTACCGGATTGAGAGGTCGTTGGAGTTGTTTGAAGATATGAACAAAAGGGGTTGTACCCCCAATCGGGTGACTTATGATTCGTTTATTAGGTACTATGCTGCAGTTAATGAGATTGATAAGGCTGTTGAAATGCTATGGAAGATGCAAAATTTGAAACACGGAATGCCTACTTCAAGTTCGTATACTCCAATCATTCATGCCTTGTGTGAAGCTGGAAGGATCATAGAGGCCCGAGATTTTCTGGTTGAGATGATTGATGGAGGCTCGATACCTAGAGAGTATACGTATAAATTAGTTTGTTATGCACTAAATTCAGCTGGAGAAGTCAATTTGCTTGATGATGATGTGCGTAAAACAATAAAAGACGGTATAGTGAGCAGGTATAGGCAGACAATGAAGGTGAAGCCAATGATGAGTCGCAAAGGATATGATAGCATGGTGGAAACTTGATTTAACGAAGAAACTAGTTATGTTAGAGCCCTACTTATTGATGATTCTTTTTATCATGCTACAAATCTGTGTAGCTGCTGTGCTGTTTAAGATGTGTTAAATGTTTGAAGCAATTTTCAGCCACTGTGAGTTGGAATCGCCGAGGCCTTAGGAATTGCAACATCTATTTTCCGAAAGGACTTGGCAAGTAGATAAACTCTTTAACTTTGGCTGTGTCAAGGAACATCTGCTAAATTTTAAATTCAAGGAATGATGGCCCTTCAAGTTGCTGATGAGCTGCAAGCTTAGGTTACTGGCCTAGACTATATGCTGGAGCTCCAGGAACATGATGATTGTGCTAAATTTTACTTTCAAAGAATGATGGCCCTTCAAGTTGCTCAGGAGCTGCAGGCTCAGGTTACTAGACTAGACGACATGCTGGAGCTCGTTAATCAGGAAGATTTTTGGCGTGATTTGTCTTCTGCTGTTATAATGGGGGAAGACTTGAACATTGTGCGACGAAGAAGAAAGTTAAGGTTGAAATTCGCCAACTTATGTCATGAAGTCTTTTCTGAGTTCTCACATTGTGGTAAATGGTCAGGTATTTGGAGAGTACATATTGCTTGGTTAGAGGGGATGGCGCTCCTCTTACGCACATGAATTTGAATCCACATGGCCGCAGTTTAGATTAAATTCTTCGTTTCCTCCACACAACAGAACAAGGAAGAAGAAGGAATAAAAGGACAAAACTTCTGGGCACTGCACGCTCTGCTTTTTCTGGTTGGATCTAGTGGTTTTCTACTGACACTTAAGTTTTGTATGCCGTGCAAGCTTCACACAAGGCAATGCAAGGGGCTGCATGGTTCACACCTAAACCCGTCAAATTTGATAGTTCTTCAGCGTCTCTGACTTCCCCTATAAAGATTGACAGCATATGAAGTGGTAGCTTTTTAGCTCTGAGTTCGATCTCTTCATTCATCCTTCCCAGTAGTTTATTTCCTGTTGCAAAACTTGAGAGTCCTGTCATTGTCACTGTAAGTAATTAGCTCGATCCATCGAGATTGATGATCGATCAGTAAAATTTGAAATTTCCCTCTGATTTTCTTTTTATCTCTTAATTACTAATTAATGAGAATAGATATGTTCTAACTGCAGCTCACACTGGTGGCATCGGCAAGGCAAAGACATGCTACTGCTTTACTTTCCGCCTCTATTTCGGTACTGGAACTCCGTCCTCCTGAACACACAAATGCCAAAATCTCTCTGTCAACTTGTCCAATCAGTTTTTTATTTTGAAAAAGGAAAAAGAATACATGATTGAAAGTGGATTTGTCTCCATAGGTCGAATATAAACTACGAATAAAATTTCATTAATTGAAACGAAGGAGTTCTACAAGTTTGCCGAGATGGCTACGTAACTCGTAAGATTATATTGTGACTAACTTATTGAAATAAACTAATATAAGCTCTATTATATAGTGAAAATTAAAACAAAATCCTAATCCTTAACAGGCAAGAAACTCTAATATCTTTAGCCCACAAGAATACCATGTATAATAATAACTAATTTTGCAAACAACTCCATCAAACTCATGGCGGTACACGTCGTACCGCCATGAGTTTGCCAACAAGTAGATGTGGATGCAAGCTCCGTTAGACAGACACGACAAGGCAAGCTCTGTTAGGTGGACACACAAGACAAGTGATTCAAGAGAGCTATTGAAGCAAACAATTCATGCGAGCAATTCGAATGAACAATTCAAGCGATTCAAGTAAATGAGCAATTCAAGCGATTCAAGTAAATGAGCAATTCAAGCAAACGGATTTGGCCAAACGATCTAATTAATAACCAGGTGCATAACGTCACTCGAATGGTCATTAGTCTAAGCACTCAAACGATCATCGTGTTGATGAGCAACGACAAGCTTCAAAAACTAGCCCAATAGCGCATACGTGGGCCCCAAAGACTTAAAAATGGCCAATTTTTTTCCTTCCGTTTTTTCTTCGTTTTTTTTTTTGTTTTTTGTTTTTAGTTTTTTTTTTGTTTTGAAAAACGTTCTTCTTTGTTTTTTGGTTTTCTTCTATGCGTACAAACAGGAGCAACAAGCTCCTTTTCTTCGCGGGTGTAGGATGGTGACGGATCCAGATGCGGGGTAACGGCGACTGGTGTGGGCAGCAATGCAACAAGGACGGAGACGGTCAGGAGAGGTTCAGGCCTAGGAGGCGAGGCTGGTCTCATGCTTCAGTGTGTTGGTGCTTAAGTTTCAGCAGCTGCTTTTGATCCAAGTTTCTTATTTCCTTTCAATTTCGAAGTGTTCGTTTTTAGTTTGTAATGTAGGGCTGAGATTAAAACAAAGCTAATAGGCTAGATGTGTGCCACAAGTCATAACAACTCACTTATGGTTGAGCATGTGCTATGCATGTGAGTGTGTGTGAGTTGGATAAGTGAGTGTGCCTCCAACGGCTATAACTCACTCTCCATTTCCATTCTCTTTGTAAGCATTAGTTCAGTTACATCTGAATTGAATTCAAGGAGCTACAACTCCAAGTTTCTTGACCTCCATTCTTTCATGCTCTTCTAGTAGAGATCATCATCTCATTAATTATTTGCTTGAACAAAATTGCTCTGATACCCTCATTACCCCACACACAGACCATAAAAAACTAACATGGTATCAGAGTCAGGTTTATCATTTTAATCTGGGTGTAAATATGTGATTTTTGTGTTCTTTAGCGAATTGCTTTCATCGAGCCTCATCTTGTAGATTTGTGTTTTGGAAACCTGTGAAAATCGGAGATCCAAGTCTAATATGGCTGGATTAACAAGTTCTGAGCTTCACACTTCAATTTTCAATGGTGAAAACTATGAATTCTAGGGAATCAAAATGCAAACAATTCTCAAGTCTAATAGACTTTGGGAGCTTGTAGAAACTGGGTTTACTATCCTAGGATCATCTACAGAGAGTGTTGTGGTAGTAGTAGCCAATGAAAAGAAGGAGAAGGGTGTGGCTACTGAAACCCCAACAAATTTTGGGGAAATTATATTGAAGGATGCTAAGGTTCTTGGGTTAATCCAAGTAGCTGTGACTCATCAATTTTTTTCCAAGATTTCCAACGAAGAAACTTCAAAGGGAGCTTAGGATATCTTGCAGCAAGAGTTCAGAGGTGACAAACAGGTTAGAAATGTGAAATTGCAAGTTTGCATAGAGATTTTGAGTATATTAGGATGAGAGATGATGAATCTTTATCTGCATACCTTACTAAACTGTTTGACATTATGAATCAAATGAGAGGCTTCGGTGAAGAATTATCTAGGGAAAGAGTTGTCTAGAAATCGCTTATAACTTTGCCCAGAAGCTATGATACAATTTATGCTATGATTGAGCGTTCCAAAGATATAAAAACTCTTGAAATCCAGAAGTTGTAGCTTCTCTGAAGGGTTATGAACAAAGACTAGATATGCATGTTGAAAGCTCCGCTGAAAAGGCATTTGCTAGCCTAAATGTTGGTTCTAAATTTCCAAAGCCTAGTGGGTTATATGGTAATCCAAAATCAAGGAAGAATTGGAAAAGCAAAGGGAAAAAGTGGGATAACAAGCCCAACTTTGCTCCTAAGCAGAATAATACTCATGATTCAAACATAACAACTTGCAAACATTGATAAACTACACTATGGAAAATGCTGGTTTGAAGGAAAACCCAAATGCACAAATTGCAATAGGTTTGGTTATGAAGCTAGAAACTGCAATGGAAAAAAGATGGTGTAGAAGGCTAATTATACAAATCAGGTTGATGAAATGGGAACTCTATTCTATGCTTGCAACTCTGTGACTCAGGTGAAGGTCAATAATACTTGGTATATTGATAGTGGTTGCAGTAATCGCATGACAGGAAATGAGAATTTGCTTGTGAATGTGAACAGAAATCTAATGCAAGAGTAAAAATGGGAACCGGAGAAATTGTGAGTTTAGTAGGAAAGGGCACACTTGACATTGAATCCAAGTTAGGTAGAAAACACATACAAGAGGTGATGCTAGTACCTGGTTTGAAGGAAAATCTTCCAAGTGTAGGGCAAATGTTGGAACATGGTTACTACATGTTACTTGGTGGTGATGCAGTTTGTATTTATGATAGCTGGAACTTGAATGGCTTGGTTGCTAAGGTTCAAATGACAAGTAATAAAGGTTTCCCTCTAACTATATTGCCAGCTACATCACTGGCACTGAAAACTAGCCTATCCTATTGTACTCAGACTTGGCATAATAGGCCAGGTCAGCTAAACACAAAGAGCTTGAAGTTGCTTAGAGAGTAAGAAATGGTCCATGAACTTCCACTCTTGGAAGATTATGAGAATATTTGTGAAGGATGAATTCTTGGCAAGCAACATAGAGATGAATTTCCAAGAGAATCAACCTAAAGAACTAAATTCCCACTAGAACTAGTTCATATAGACATTTGTGGTCCCATGCAAATTGCTTCAAATGCTGGAAACAGATACTTCATTCTATTCACAGATGATTGCACTAGAATGACATGGGTTTACTTCATGAGATATAAGTATGAGGCATTTGAGTACTTCAAAAAGTTCAAAGCAATGGCAGAATTGTAGTGTGGACACAAAATAAAGTGTCTAAGAAGTGATAGAGGTGGTGAGTTTATGTCCACTGAATTAAGTGATTTTTGCAATGTCACTAGAATTCAAAGACAACTAACCATGCCATACACACCACAGCAGAATGGTGTGTCTAAAAGTAAAAATAGAACTATGGTGGAAATGGCAAAGACTATGTTGCATGAGAAAGGTATGCCGTATCAGTTTTGGCTAGAAGCCGTGCACACAACAGTGTATCTACTCAATAGATGCCCTACTAAGTCTTTGGATAAGATGACTCCCTTTGAAGCCTACAGTGGAATAAAACCAAAAATTGCACACTTGAAGGTCTCTGGTTCAATATTTTATGTTCGTGTTCCATTGAATCTAAGACAGAAGCTTGAGTGTAAAAGTCACAAGTGTATTTTTGTGGGATATGACACTAGTGAAAAAAGATACAGGATATTTGATCCTATAACTAAGAAGATTATCTTGTCCAGAGATGTAGTATTTGATGAAAATGGTAGCTGGAATTGGGAAGCAAACTTTGAGAAGTATTTTAGTGGACCAATCACTGTTGATATTGCATAAATTGAATCAACTCAAACTCTAAAAGAACAAGAAGAGTTGGTATCTTGTGGGATTGCTCCTACCATTCCACAGGAAGAATTGAGTTCAAACATTGATTGTCCAAGTTCACAAGGGGACTTGAATCTATCACAGAGTTATGACTTCACTTCAAAGAAGTGGAGAACACTGGATGAACTTTTGGCTCAGTTCAATGTATGCATTATAGAACCTGAGAATAATGAAGAGGTAGCTTAGGATGATTCTTGAAAGAAGGTTATGCAGGCTGAGCTAGACATGATTGAAAAGAACCATACATGAATGTTGGTTGATAGGCCCTCTAGCAAACCTGTCATAAGTGTGAAATGGGTGTACAAGACTAAGTTAAACCTAGATGGGACAATACAAAAGAACAAAGCTAGATTGGTTACAAAAGGTTATTCACAAAAGCCAGGTATTGATTTTAATGAAATCTTTGCACCAGTTTCTAGGCTAGACACCATAAGAATATTGATAGCCCTTACAGCTAAAAAGGAGTGACAACTATTTCAATTGGATGTCAAGTCTGCTTTTCTTAACGGTGTACTGAAATAGGAGGTTTGTGTTGATCAACCTCAGGGTTTTGTCATTCAAGGCAAGGAGGATAAGGTGTACAAGTTGAATAAGGCATTATATGGCCTTAAGCAAGCTCTAAAGGCTTGGTATGATGGAATTGATTCCTATTTTAGGAAGGCTATTTTTCAAAATAGTTCATGTGAAGCCACCTTATGTACATTGGAAGTAGTGTCACAATGCTTGAGGAGTTAAAAAATGACATGATGTAGCATTATGAGACGACATATTTGGGGTTGCTGCACCATTTCCTTGGTATGAGAGTTGTATAAACAAATAAGAGCATCTTCATTCATCAGAAGAAGTATGCAATGAAGTTGCTGGAGAAATTTAGCCTATAGGATTGTAAGTCTATGGGAACGCCACTTGCAGTAAATGACAGGCTATACAAGAATGATGGAAGTGAGGCTGCAGATGAGTCTGAATATAGAAAATTGGTAGGAAGTTTGCTGTACCTTACTACCACTAGACCAGACATTACGTTTGGTGCTAGTTTCTTGGCAAGATTCATGCATGATCCAACTAAGAAACACATGGGAATAGCAAAAAGAGTACTGAGATACATTCAAGGTACTTTGGATTTTGGCATTAAATATGTAA